ATAACTTTTCTATATATATTAAATTATAAATATTATTATTTCTTATTCTTATTATTAACTCTTTAAGGTTTATTACTAAACTTAAATTTCTTTTTATTCTACTTACTAAGCATATTAAAACTAGTATTACTAAGCCTATAGCTATTACCTTCTATTTTAGTAATTACAGTCTAGTAATAGCTAGCTTAATTATTACTTTTAAACTTTTATTACTTTTAGGTAAGAAGCTTAAAAACAGCTAAGGACATATAACTTAATAAATCTAGGTTTATAGTTTATATAAGCCTGCGTATGTCTCCCCAGATTTATATACAAAAAATAAACCTCTAAAATTTTTTCTAACACACAAACTGCGTAACGCGAAAATCGAACCTAAAAGTCTTCCTACATTATATAAGGAGGGTAGCTGGGGTAACCTAACTACCTGTAGAACAGTAACTACGTTAATACTTTTAAAACAACGCGTAAACTACTAAGCTACTCTCTATTTTATATCTCCCTAGGCGGGCTTCTACCTTATATAGCCTCTTTCTTAGCGGCTAATGCGTAACTTTTGTAGCTTTAGGCCTACAGTCTTATACTAGTAAGCCTTGTTTCCTAGGTAGCGGCTAGCAACGTTAACTCTAGTTAGTATATCTACTAGGGGCTAGGCAACTCTTTTTTACTTACTTAGGTAGGTTAACGCCTATATTTTAAAGCAGTGCCTCTAGTGCTGTACCTAAGCTTATAAGGAGAACTAAAGTCCTGCTAAACTTGTGTTAGTAGGCACTATTTAGGGTCTATAGATAATTAGCTTTGCTATTTGTTCTACTAGATCTTTAGGGATAGCTCTGTTAAGTTTCCGCATTTACGCGTATTAGGGTATAAGTCTTCTTCTCTTAAGGGGCGTATATAGTAGGATCGTTACTAGTGTAAGAGCTAAAGACGCCCCGTTGCGGACCGTACCTTAGGGAACTTAGTAGGGGTAATTAAATCAGTTATTTACAGTGTAGCTACCTTGTGCAGCTATAGCGTTTACGGCTAGAATTACTTTGGCGTCTCCCTTCTATCTAGTAGTACACTCCGCCCCCTCTAGGGGGTTTAGCTAACGCGTTTTAGTGCTACAGTTTAGGATAGTTACCTAGTTAATTCTACTAGTAGTTATATGCTTATCTTAAAGATTAAGCTATATATATCTAAGTATAAGTAATTATACTGTAAAACTGCAAATAGCTTATTAAATTAGTTATTGTTTATTTAATAGTACCTTACTACTTAGATAACTATAGTAATTCTAGAGCTAATATATACTAAAAACCCTAACTTTAGGAGGAGTATATTTATTAG